ATTTGGGTATCACTATGACAAATATGAATTGTATATTATTTCAAAATAACTATGTTAAGTCATGGAATGAAGTCACCCTTCATTGGACGAGATGGGCAGTATACAAATTTAATAAATGAATGAATGAATAATGAAGTTTAAAAAGATATGTTAAGATGGGAGAAACTACAACTGTCACTGCTGGGGAGAATGTCTGTGATAAAATGAATGTCTTGCCTAGAATTATATTCTTGTTTCAGACAATACCTGTTTTGACAACTGATGAACCATTTAAACAGTGGCAGAGGATATATCTTATTTGTGTGGCAGTGGAAAAAACCACAAGTTAAATATAAGGTATTACAAGATGCAAAGGAAAGAGGAGGATTGGGTTTACCTGACTTGAAATTGTATTTTGCAGCTTGCTGTTTGGTTTGGATGAAAGAGTAGATGTTGCTGAGAAATATAAGGCTTCTGGAGTTAGCTGAACACAACCTGAGATTTGGGAGGCATGGATATTTGTGGTACGGCAAAGTCAAAGTTAATGTGGATTTTAAAAATCATTATGTTAGACATGACATACTGAGAATATGGAATAGATACAAACTCAGGTTGTGTCTGAAAACACCTTTGTGGCTCTCAGCACAAGAAGTCTTTTATTAGATGAGAAATAATAAGCAAATGGCTAACTTATTGTGAGATATTAGAATTTTGTCAAGGGGAATGTAAAATAAAATCAAGAGAAGAACTGGTGACAGGGAGATATAGTTGTCAATGATTCTCTTATTTACAGTTACTAGAAAGATTTAAAGTAGACAAAAAAGTTATGGTTTGAACATTCTAAGAGTGAGTTTGAAATAGAACTGTGTACAAATGATGAATATGTAATTGCTAAAACATATAAACTTTTATTGAAATTTGAAACAGAAGAAGAACAAGTGAAAGAATGTATGATAAAGTGGACTAAAAAATTTGGTTATAATATACAGATGGAACAATAGGAAAATATGCAGCTGGAAGGACTGAAATTTACATGGTTATAATCTTAAAGAAAATTGTTATAAAATGATGTATCATTGGTATATGTTACCAGAGAAATTGTTTAGAATGTATAAAGGCACTTCAATTTTACTGGAAATGTGAACAACAAGAAGGGACATTTTATCACGTTTGGTGGGCATGTAAAAAAGTTAGAAAATTCTGGATTCAAATACACATATTGATTGTGAGGGTTTTAAAGATTAATTTACAATTGAAACCAGAGGTTTTTCTTTTTGGATTGATGGACAAACAGTTGGAAAAAAGTCATGGAATTTTGTTTTTGTATATGATAACTGCAGCAAGATTATTGTATGCACAATTGATGGACAAACAGTTGGAAAAAAGTCATGGAATTTTGTTTTTGTATATGATAACTGCAGCAAGATTATTGTATGCACAAAGATGGAAAGATTCAGCACTATT